ATTACAAAAAAATATACATCTACAGTGACATTCTGGCGCGTTTTTGTAAGGCATTTTTACTTCCGCATACAAAAAAAGCCCTCTCCACCTGACCTCCTGCGTGTGACGTAAGCATGGGGGAGAGCGGCCGGTTCTACGTAGTAATAAAACATGGATCACAATGCTAATTTTGATACAGAAGGAGGTGGAAAATATATATTCGAATGCCATATGATATATAATTATGGAGCCTGCTAGGTGTCCAAGAGACCAGGAGCAGCCAAGGTTAGAAGAAATATACGGCCATCGGCGAGAAATGGAGGCTTTTTGGTTGGTGTGGAGAACCAGTGTTAGAACAGAGCCAAGCTTCCTTGGTGGAGCTGACCGGCGTTAGCTACAGTTATGTTAGCTAACGCAGTCACATCCACAACATTGTAAAAGTTAGCTTCATATATCCAGGACTATAACTAAAGTAGTATGTGATTAACTATAGTAACGTTACTGGCAGGACTGTTGATACTGATCCATAACAGAAACTAATGCGCAAGTATCAGCCGTATCTCGCGTTACCTAATGCAACTCCACACTACGTCTTACGGTTGCTGTCAGGCCAGTATATATGATATGGCTCTGGGTGCTGGTGTACCGGAAGGAGAGAGAGAGAGAGAGAGCGAAAGGGGAGAGAGAAGGAGCGAAGGGGGGAGAGAGATTGTATACGGTTCTGAATAAACTTTTTGTTTGATAGGCTTCAGCTGTGTGTGTGCTGCAGGGAGGTGGATGCACCTCGCACAACACACCCAGGAACGAAAGCTAGCTCCGGGTCCTTTTCCTGTTAGGGAAACTGTGGACTCGATGTCCTGACAGGCTGGAGTTTGTGCAACCTCCACAAACTCCAGCTCACCATGATTAAAAATGGTGAAATGCAATGTAAAATTACCGAAAAAATACCAGCTCACTAAATCACAACCACTACAAACTACTACCGAGGATTGGGCAGAGAACGAGTCCGAGAAAGTTGCTCCCCCATGTGACGTAATATGACGCGTTTGACGTATGACGTTAAAAAAAAGCAGAGCTCAAAACGGCTTCTTTTCCTCTGAATTCCTGCCCTTATGTCTTGTAAAACATTAACTTTTTTAATTGTAATTTTCAGGCAAGGTTAAGCATAAATATATTAAAAAGAAAAACCTGCAAGTTGCTCTTTAAGTGTGTATAAACATTCTGCAGAAGGTATGTGAGTTGGTATTTAAAAGGTATAGGAGATGGCATTTAAAAGGGATGTGAGTTGGAATAAATAATATTCTTATCTGATGTGCTAGTATCTCCATGTGTCTGCAGGACCTGGTGTCTGCCCTGCAGCAGAGGGTGGGGCTGCTAGCGCGGGAGAGCTCTCGGGACGAGGAGCTGCTGAGGCAGGTTGGCTCGGAACTGATGTGCCTGCAGAGCTCCGAGGGTAAGCTGGAGGGCCTGGTGGAGGAGCTGCATGCTGAGGCCCAACACAGAGTTGCAGAAGCAGTGAGCTTCCAGGCGGAGCTCCACGCAGAGGCCCAGCGCAGAGCCGAGCAGACAGAGAGCCCGCAGGCAGAGCTGCGCAGGTAGGCCCACTCTTGTTATCTGAAAAATGTAGAACAGATGAGCTTTACAAACACTGTTGACATTTAGTAACACTTTCAACATGAGAAAATTAAAATAATAGCTCATGTAAATGATATCTCAAGATAGATTCCTTGTGAGAAATAAAAAACATTTACTATGGATGTTTAATCTGGAATATCAAGAAGACTACATGATAAATAATGTAACAAAAATAGCTAAGAGGGAGAGCAGCGGTCGCTTATTATTTAGATTTCCCTTCAAACGACAAAGGAAAGTAGAAAAGCAAACTGACCGTCCCGCCCCTTAGCCTATCTAACAAAGTGCTGGAGCGCTAGCCAATAGTGCACAGCAAACACCACAGTGTACATTGTACTCTATAAGCAGGGGTGCACATAAGTGCTACACATGCACGGCAACAATCTGAAAGGCGTACCGTCACTTGTGTCACAAAGCGCATTTGCGTACCGACGTACTTGTGAAGGTTTTCCAGAAGGCGGTTAGATCACCGGACGACAGAGTCGATTTCCGTGTGCACAGACAGGGCTGCTGTTAACGTCGGTCTGTACAGCAGCACTGCGCTAAAACAGCTGATCACAACGTTCACATGCTCTGTGGTCTCGAAGCTCTGCACTCCACTACCCCCCCTCTGACATTCGCGATACAGAGGGCTTCATACTCCACTAGCACCCCCCCGCTGACATTCGCAATACAGAGGGCTTCATGGGAACTTTGAGGGGAGCCAGAAGTTGAGGTACCAAACACTGACTCCAGGTACTCATCTGAGTACCTCACTGAGAAAGTTGTGTGTACCCCTGTTTATAACAGAACAAAAAAATAAATAAACACGAATCATAAATGTCAACAATACATGTGGCACAATAGACANGTGTGTGTGTGTGTGTGTGTGTGTGTGTGTGTCTGTGTGTGAGAGAGAGGGGGTGTGTGTATGTGTGAGAGAGAGATAGAGTGTGTGTGTGTGTGTGTGTGTGTGTGTGTGTGTGTGTGTGTGTGTGTGTGTGTGTGTGTGTGTGTGTGTGTGTGTGTGTGTGTGTGTGTGTGTGTGTGTGTGTGCAGCGCCGGTGTAGCAGAGCAGAGTGACAATGAACGGGAGAAAAAGAGAACATGATTGAGTGGGACATTTTGTCAGCCGCAGACGTGAGCTGGAGCCTGGATGGGAGTGTGTGTGTGTGTGTGTGTGTGTGTGTGTGTGTGTGTGTGTGTGTGTGTGTGTGTGTGTGTGTGTGTGTGTGTGTGTGTGTGTGTGTGTGTGTGTGTATAGGGTATACCAAAGAGTCTGAGTCACCCTGCACCCATTCTTTGCTTCTTTATTGGTATTCTAAAGCAGCCTCTTCTGTGCTAACCGGAGCTCTGTTGATGGGGCTGCCATTACCCATAATGCTGCTGATTGTTATAGTATAGTTGATTCAATCATGTTTATATATATATCTATCATAGTGCAGTTTGAGGTCGTCTGCTTGATTTCCCTGTAAACACTTCCCCATATTTACAGATAGCACATGCACCGTCGTATGACTCAAACAAGACTTTCCCCTTGTTTCCCAGTGTCTGAACTTCATTTGTAAATAACCCCTGCACTTGTTATGCATCTTGGAACCATTGTTTGATTCATTTTGGGGAATTAAAAGCTGTGCTGAAACATCTGGTAAGAAAAGCATGACACAACAGGATATACCACATAATGTGTCTTTGATAGTATCGTATGAAGAGGCTTTGAATATCTGAGCAGTTTGAATCAAATTCAATCGTAACCACTCGTTTCTACTCTTACCAGTGTGTCCTTTAGAAGTAATCCAGAAATCAATACCTCATAATTATATTACGCTTTAGAGAAATTGGCTGTGTGTGTGTGTGTGTGTGTGTGTGTGTGTGTGTGTGTGTGTGTGTGTGTGTGTGTGTGTGTGGTTTTGGATGCAAACCAATTGATAAGTTCATACGAGTCTGGCTCATATCATCGATATCTGGAGTTTGGTTTCAATCCTACGGAAGAAGATTAGGGCCGCTTGTGACATTTCCTGACGGAAAGTAATTGTACTTTTTTTTTCTGTGTGGTAATCTCAGGATCCGAGAAAATTAGTCTGAATTCTGAGAAAAAAAATATTCAGACATTTTTCAGAACATCTCAGATTATTGACTTTTTCTCTGAATTTTGAATTTGTTGTAAGAACTAAAAAAAAAACTAAAAAAAACTGTGGCCTTAATCCTCTTCTGTACAATCTGCATCATGCGAAAGCTACGACAATTTATTTATGGTTAGGGGTTCAGCCTTGACAGACACACGTGTGTTGTTCATGGTGCAAACCGTTGTCCCAGTGCATCAGAAACACGGTGCTGGTTCATGTTTCTCTGCAGATAATGATTTCCTGTTTAGCTGAAGAGCTCTGTGCTTTCATTGCTTAAACACGGTCTCGTCGGGTTGTATTAACTCAATGGATGTCTTCACAACAATAGAAATACACCGCTGTGTGTGTGATAGATAGTTTGTAATGGTGGCTCTTCAAAACAAGTGGACATGAACCAATGGTTTATTCAAGAGTGTTTGGGAGAAAAAGACGATTTGTCTTCTAAATGGAGCCACTTAGGCAACAGAATCAAAAGGATTATAGTGTGAAAGGGATTAAAGGCCTTTTGTGACAAGAAATTAAACATCACGCATGAGTGTTGGAACACATTTCTTCGTGTGTATGCACACACACAATCTCATGACACACACAGGGACACATGGAAGGCCTCAGGAGTGAGAAGCACAGCTGCAGTACAGAGTCAGAGGAACAGACTGCTTTCAGAGGACAGATGGCTGTCAGGAAAACGCACTCCCCCAAAATCAATGCTGTAATATTAATTCATCTCACTAACAGGGTACTGAACTCACTCCTCAGGCTGGAGGACTGTGATTTGGTTAATTTTCCGGTACAGATGGTTATGACTGGTGGATATGGAGACTGGTGAATCTCTAAGGGAGATAATAGTCCTTGATTAACGTGAATGATACCTTTATTCAAACTCTAACTCTAAAAGCTGATTTAGAGTGCAATAGAGGTTATATCAACTCAAATATGTATACAGGGATATAGGGTTGGGAGAAGAGTGGAACAGGCTAGCAAAGCATTGTGGGGATTTTAAGACCGCAGAGTCTACACATGTGCAGCCTCGAAATTTCCCGCAACGAAGTACGCCGGCCTCGGTAGAATTCCAAGTATCCTGGACCTTGGAACAGTCCTTCGGCGGCACTCGATGACGTAGTATCCTTGAAATAGTGGCTCTGGAGCAGCTTTCCTCGACATTGAGAAACACCCCCTGTGTTTCAGTCCTGGGAGCCATCTTGTTCCAGTGCTCCAAACTCCTCCTTATATGTGATGTAAGAGAGGGTGGAGTCTCAAACGTCATTGGTTGAATAATATGTGATATACTGTTGGCCAATTTACTCAAAAATTGATTAGTTTCGTGCATTTATGGTTTGATTTGAAGGTACAATATTTGTGTAATTAAGATAATGAAATTACTTAGGCCTTGAGGGATTTATTAGGAAACAATGTCTATTCTTTTGACTAACTTTTCACTGTCATTTCAGAGTCATGATCTGATTGGCCAGGTTGAGCTGGGAGGGCGGGCTCACTTTTTTCAAAATTCAGACTTTTTTTGCATGTCAGACTTTTTTTTCTAAATTATAAGGTTTCTTTTCAAAATGATAAAAAGATTATAGCTTTTTTCCCAAATTCTGATATTTTTTAAAAATTCTGACTTGTTTAAAAAAGTCTGACTTTTCCCCCAAATTCTGACTTTTTTTCAAATTTCTGATTTTTTCAAATTTCAGACATTATTCTCATGATTCAGAGAAATTCAGGAAAAATTAAAAATTCTGACTTCTTCTCAGAATTGTCATGTAGATAAACCGTTGTGATTGGCTTGTCCGAATCCAGACCGATTTTGCATAAATAAACCCACAAACATCTGTAGGTGGAAATGTAGAATTGATTGGTTTCACATTACTGGCTAACAAACAAATATATGGCTGATCGGAATATCTAGACTGCACCATACACAGAGGGTGTTTCTCAATGTTGAGTAAAGCTGCTCCAGAGCCACTATTTCAAGCATACTACGTCATCGAGTGCCGCCTAAGAATGCCCAGCATACTTGGAATTCTACCAAGCCCGGTGTACTTCGTAGCGAGAAATTTCGAGGCTGCACATGTGTAGACTCCGCGGTCTTCAAATCCCCACAATGCTTTGCGCACGGACCAATTTCTCTCATACACCAGCATACTTGCTCACCTGTTCCACTCTTCGTCTAGGAAGTATTCTTGCCTCGCTTCGGAAGCAAGTGACTCGGAAGACATGTGCTCCCAAGCAAGCGTACTCGACATTGAGAAACACCCAGAGTTTTCTGGCCTAATCAACAAGATCCCCAAACTAGTTACTGCCAAAAGGAACTTGTACGGTTATACATTGAGAAAGTCAATGGATGTACAAGATATGCTTTTAGTGTTAACGTCACTTAATGGGAACACGGCTGCTGGTGACAGACACAAACAAGAAAGCGTTGTAAAAATGGATAATGATGGTCTTAAATGTCATGGCACGAACAAGAACATAGTAAATAGGGCTCTAACATTTCAAATAGTAAATAACAGTGTGTGTCACAAGCAGAATTCAGAGCTATCAGAAAATCAGCAGGTCAATCTAATAGACTGCACTTGAAAGCACCACGATGCCTTCATGTGTATTTTCAGAGGATGTGTTCCTGCAAGACATTTTGGCATCTCTTCACAGAGCTTCTAAGTAAGCAATCAATCCTGCCAATCAACCCTTAGTTGTTCAATATATTTATTCAGACAATGTGAGTAGAAATACAGAAATGCTATAAGGCCAACGTTGCAATATTACAACATTTCCCTAAAAACTTACAACAAAAACTCTTTAATTTCTGCACCAGAGACTCCTTACAACAACATCGGAAAGGTCCCAAACAAATGTGCTAATGTTTTTCTATATTTGGGCTTTACAGGGTTCAGTCAGTATAGGTTTTCACATACTACATCTTAACACTTTTTTCAATGAGAAGGGAAAGGTATCCGTATAATCCTGCAGGATATTCCACAGTTTGTATACTGAAGCTTAAGCCTGGGCACACGGTGGGGGTTTGTGTTGTGGATGTGTGAGAAGACATTATGGGGTTGAACAAGAGAGCTCGCAGCCATTCTGGGGATGTGTTGAAATACAACTAGACAAGCGTATGTGGCCTTGTTTCCTCACTCCCTCTTCGCTCTTCGTCCCTGAGCATCTGTTTGCATCCCCTCTCCAAGGCTTCCTGTCTCTCCTCCTTTCTTTCTTATTCTGTTCCCTGGTTACCATGTGGGCACAGTGTGAGATGTGTTTGTTTGTCTCCTCAGGCAGGTGCTTGCAAAGCAGCACGCATACGTTCAAGCAACACATTTACATTGGAAATATAATGCTGCAAACAAGGTGTTTTCACTTGTAATATGTGCAAGAGAACAAGGGAACATTACCTTGGTAGGATTTCTTGTTTCTATTATATTCTGTTTCTATTATATTCTATTCTATGTTATTTACTTGCACTACTTTATCTGTGTTATTGTGTTGCACTGTTGTGATCTAAGATTTTCATTGTCATATCTACACTTCAGTCAGACAACTCACGTGTTTCCGTATGTTTATTAGAAGCAGCATATAGTTTGAGTTTGGCGTCTAGGCTCGGGCCTCATCACTCCACAGATTAATAAAGAACATTGAGTGATGATTAGATAACTATCCCCCGAGTCTACAGGTGGAAGCTGGGGTGGAAGCTGGGGTGGAAGCTGGGGTGGAAGCTGGGGTGGAAGCTGGGGTGGAAGCTGGGGTGGAAGCTGGGGTGGAAGCTGGGGTGGAAGCTGGGGTGGAAGCTGGGGGGGAGCTGGGGCAGGCAAGCAGCAGGAATATGAACGTAGCATTAGCAAGTGAACACAGCAGCAGCATAGCGAGGCAGAGGCAGGAAGACATTGGTGCTCGAGTAGTTAAAACATAACTTCAATCCCAGATACAATCCTAAACACTGTGAGCAAATAGGCTCCATTTTCCAAATAGTATCCCAACGTGACCCGACATGATTTGTTTATTTTGATTGTCTGTGTTTGCAGATGACTCAGGGGGCAAATTCATCAGGCATCAGTGTGGAAATAAATACAAACATCATGAACAGAAAAGCCACAAAGCTATCGTGCATGCATTAGCGTCAGCAGCAGAGAACTGTAAACACATTAACCTGAATGTTTTCAATCATCGTTCACCACGAACACTTTATACATACAGGCACAATATAAAGGAACCACTGCACAACAGACTTCATTCCCATCTCAGTTTATCTGAAAGGAGATAATGCAATGCCTTCTTAAAACAAGCGTGTTTTAAAGGTCTCCTATTGTGCTATGTGTAGGCCAACCCTGTCTCCTAAAAATTACGTTCCCAAAAGACTAAACTGCATTCTCAATTATGTTTAGCTAGAAACGTATTTTCTCCCACGTTACGTTCGTTATGGACGTTTCTTAAATACGTTTATTTTCTACATATCTTTGCCATTTAATGTCTTGCTTATGATAATGATAATAGTCATTTATAAATATCATTTTAGAACACACATTTAAAATCAGTAGGCGAGGCTGTAATTTCTCCAGCTGTTACTCTCATGAGAGGCAGAACATAATAGTTTTATCATGCCAAAAAGCTGCTGTGTCGTTTATTGCACCTCAAACATTAAAACAAATCCAGAGTTACGTGTTTCTGTACTTCCTCTAAGTAGAAAGGACAGATAAGATCTCTGTGGCTTCAGGCTCGATCGCCGTTCAAATGACAGCGTTGGTTTCCCCAAAAGTGGGCGGGGCTTTAAAGTGACGTAAATGTTACTCTCATCTATTATTCAAAACCATTCTATTTATTACAACGTAAATTACATGCCAGTGTTTCATCTTTTTATTACTTATATTTTTATACTTTATTTGCTATGAGTTATATCTGACAGCACATTATGTTTCTGAAGATGTGTAGTCAATTCCACCCTTCAATGTAGCATAAACGTGAACTCTCATTACAGGAACAATACCGGAAACAGACGTAGGAAAGATCCTAAGCTCGCTGATTGGATGTTTTAGCCGTGTAACTAAAGTCTGCTTTAAGGGTTGTTTATATTTCACTTCATTAATCAGAATCTGCAAAGTAACTCAAATAAATGTAGTGGAGTAAAAATACCAGGTTAACCTCTGAATTGTAGTGGAGTAGAATTACAAAGTAACAATGAGCTGTCATGTGGGGATATAT